GAACTCTCCACAAATGAAAAACCTTATTGAGTATTGCTCTGATTAAGCCTACTGGATTGGAAGGGGCAGACAGTAAGTGATTTCCTCTCTACTCTAATGGTATATCCAATGGTGACTGTCCAGGGAGTCATCTCTGGTCTGTTTCCTTCTTGTGTGAGTATGTGTGCAGAGGGATAGAGGTGGGAAGTTGGTACAAATGCAAAATGTACTTAGGACCTTTTTTTTAAAAGTCATGGTATGGTAAAAAGTAAGTGAAATCTACAGATTGTCCATTTGTTGGGTTTCCCATTGAATGGTTTATCTTGAAACAAAACAAAACAAAACAAAACAAAATAAAACAAACATTAAGCATTCAATTCCTTGAAGATACTGGAAGGTATTTATGGAACACTATGTTTTCAGGAGTGTGTGTGTGTGTGTGTGTGTGTGTGTGTGTGTTTGTGTGTGAATCGTTGGCTTTTTCATTTCATGTCTTATTTCAGAGGAGAGTTACCTTGGGGAAGAAGTGCTGAAAAAAAAGTAGAACACTGAAGGAAAATAATATGTTGATTTTTGAGTTCAACAGAAAGGTGTGAAAAAAGTTACTCATGGTACTTATTATGCAAGTACATATATTTTTGGTGGTCCCTTACAAGGCTTCTATATTTCAGATTGCTCTAACTGTTCACTTGACTGTTTCCACTAATTCCTCTTGCTTCACCAAGTATTTACTGACAGAGCTAGTACTACCACATTTAGAAAAGAAATCAAATTTGCATTAGCAAGTTAGCATCATTGTGATTCTAGTTTCATGCATGACAGATTCCATATATAGAGCTATATTTAATGTATTTCTAATTAGAAGGGGGGAGATATGCTAAGTTGCCTTGACATGTCATTTTCTCTCTCTTTGTTTTTGTTTGCCCAGCTCACCATGTTAAAACTGGAACCTGTGAGGTGGTGGCGCTCCATAGATGTTGTAATAAGAACAAGATAGAAGAAAGGTCACAGACGGTCAAGTGTTCATGCTTCCCAGGGCAGGTGGCAGGCACCACTCGAGCTGCTCCTTCTTGTGTTGATGGTGCGATTTCTTCAATTGTTTCATTAAATCTCTCTCTCTCTCTCCCTCTCTCTCTCTCTCTCTCTCTCTCTCTCTCTCTCTCTCTCTTTCTTTCACATTGATACCAAATATTCTGGCGATTTAAAATAATATTGGCCTAGAGTGGGGGGGGGCAGAGAATTAGGACTAGGGGGGAAAAGAACCCCTCTGCTCTGGGATGATTCTATAGGTGAGACTTAGAATATGATCTTTTTTATTACTTCAGAAACCCAATCCTACAAATGGATATGAAAGTCCTGATAGTCATTTCTGTTTCTTAGTGAATGATATTTAATTGACATTCTGATATATTTTGCTCAGCAGTGCACATGCTCTTTATTTTGGTTGACATTTTATCAAAATCCAGACAGGAAAGAATGTAAAAAAATGGGAAGGAAGCAATGAAATTAATGATTTGATATTACTTTACTAAAAATTAAATTCAAGAAATTCTTTTAAGAATTTAAATAAAAGTTCCTTCATTCTCAATAAATTTTACCTCATTGATTTTTTGGGAGACAAATCAACATCTTATCTAAGTAGAACTCTTATATGATAACTGAATAAAATCTTCAATGTGATTGTTACTTTTAAATACATAATTTTAACATGATATTATATAGAATTTAAATGCCTGTATGGGCATTTTTCAGATTATATGGTGCTGGTTTTTGCCAATGGTATAATATTAATGTTACACCAGCTCAGAGCTTCAGTTCATTTGTGGAGAATTCTGTATTCATTCTAAAATGGAAATATTACTTCCTGTTGGTGTGTTTGATGTCTAGGAGATTGTGAACAGTATCAAGAAATAAACCTGGTAAGCAAATTTAGGAGTATTTCCAGGGTCCCTTTGGCTAAAATCAAGGGACTTCTCTCAAAACCCAGAATATCCACTAAGGAATGGAAATCATGCTTCTTTTCATCCCCTTCCCTTCCCTTACTCCCCATCCCTTGTAGTTTTGCTGCAATACCATAAGAAATAATCAACAGGGAAGAAAATAGTGACTTGATTTTTTCCCCTTCCTGAAGCTTCAATAGTGGAGCAGAAATGGTGGTGTCACATGCAGCCATGTCTTGAAGGAGAGGAATGTAAAGTTCTTCCAGATCGGAAAGGGTGGAGTTGTTCCTCGGGAAATAAAGTGAAGACGACGAGGGTAGGTACAAGCCTAGTCTTGGCACCTAACGTGGTACATAACTTGACTGGTAAAATGGGAAGTAGGTATAATCAAATCCAAGTGTCATTTTAGTTGTGAGTTTTGCTTTAGAATTGCACTCATTAGTTGGTCCTGAATTTGTTAAATGCCCACTATTCTTTCAGAGGCAGTGATACAGGACAGGACTAGTTAGAAGAGAATGTCTTGGGTCCAGAAAGACCTGGGATCAGTCCTGCCTCTGACTCAGCCTAGCTGTGTGACCATGAACACTAAACTTCTTAGTGTTGCAGGAAACTCTATAGGCCATGAAGTTGCAGACAAGTTGCTAATCTGCCTCAGTGGAAGGAGTTTCCATATTGGGAGGTCCCTGTGCCAACAAAATCATTGGTCTGCACCAAAAATAAAATCTCTTATCTCATGAGAGACTGATGATTAGAAACTGCCTGGCACTACTTGTTAATGTCCTGGAAGGGTAACCCAATCCCTCGTCCTTCCAAGGTAGATTAAATTGGCTAACAAAAATTTGTTCTGCCTATGTCAGTCCTTGACATCTTAAAAACCAAGGCTCTTCCAGCTTTATGTGACTATGTTGATTATCTGCATTGTCTAGTTAAAATTTTCCTAATAATGAAGGTGATTAAATACTGAAATAGATTCTTAAGGAAGGTTTGGGGATGTTGAGATCAGTAAAATTATAATAAATTCTCTTTGGATCACAATCTTTTTAAGCTTGTGCAAAGAAGCACCCGTGACAAATAATGATTAATAATTAACCTAACCTCTTGATAGGAGACTTGGGTTTCATGAACCTGAATTTGAAAACCCTGACAATGTTGTGTGTGGTGAAGGATGAAAGAATTTGAATTCTGCTTCATTGAATCTGCTGATGAAAATTTTAATGTCCAATGAACCTCTAAAGCCTGAGTTCTTAATCTTTTTTTGTGTGTGCTGTGGACCCCTTTGGCGATGCAGTCTATGGACCCCTTCCTAAAATAATGTCTTTAAATATATAAAATAAAGTATGTACGATTACAAAGGAAACCAATTATATAGAAATAAAGATTTATTTTTTTTCAAATCCAAGTTCACAGACCCCTTGAAATCTTTCCATGAACCCCTTGAGTTCTGTGGAACCCGCATTAAAAAAATAAACAAATCTTGCATCAAAAGGTATACTTAGAGGTTGGGTAGAATAAGGCTGCTTGATAAAAGCCAAGTGATTAGGAAAATGTTATTAATTATTTTATTATATTTAATGAGAGGAAAAGAGACAAGTGAAACCCAAACCAAAACAAAATCTCTATAACAACTGGAGGCTGGCAAAGTTGCAGTAGTTTTTTTGACAAAGGTGATGCCCTGACATAGATTGGTTTGCCTTACTAGGTCCTAGCTAGCCCTATGATTCCATCTATCCTAATGATATATTATTGCATATGCTGCCTAAAACTAGACTGAAGGGACCAAGTAACAAGTGTAATCAAATTAACATTCTGTCAAAGTAGTCTTGACTCTGCGACCTGTTGACTAAAGGCCAACAAATCTTTCTAAAATTCATGCAGTGTCCCTCATCCATGGAAGCATGGCCAATTAACTAGAATAACTGTGTTACCCAGTAAGGTAACACTTCATTTGGCAAACATTGATTTACTTTAAAATATTCTGGAATGCTAGATTATTTTTATGATAAACTATATTAACAATATTGCCATTTCTCATTCTCTCAACAGTTAAATCTTATTTCAAAAGGGCATATATAGAAATTCACTCAGCCTCTTTCATTAAGATTCAAAAACAAATCAAAAACAATTCTATATCTACCTTTGAATATTAAACCTTTGTTTACTTTGGCAGGTAAGAAGTAGGCTATTTCTGCAGAATGTTGATAATGAGATTAATTATAATTAATTAGTGTTACTATTTCATTAAAAAGCACTAGGGATAATACAACTTTCCAAAGCGATTGATATAAAATAGATAGCTTCAAAAAGATCTTTAGATTTGTTCTAGAATTATTATAATTGTTTGACCTTAATTCTCATAGTAAATTGCCTTTGAAATGAGTCCATTGTTGTCAGTCTTTTAGTCTCAAAGGACATGTCCTGTCCCCATTTCTCAAATAGTTGATAACTTAATGAAGGAAGATGCTTGAAAGATTGAGGGCATAGGTGCAGAGGGTCTCAGCCCATTTATTTCATTCTGACACACCTAAGTCTCTGAACACAGGCATGTTGGATGCAACTCATTATCTTTCCTCTTCTCCTTTCAGCATTGAAATCTGCCCAGTCCTCTAACTTGAAAAAGAAAGAAAAGTCTCATTTATGATTAGGAAAAAGGAGGTGTGAATGAAACATTATGCAAGTTAAATATGCTATTATCATTTTTTGTCATTTCTAAGACAAAGAAAGCAGTATTGATGGAGAGATGTGGTTATTTTATTTTGAAAGGAGACAGTGGTTAAAAAAGAAAGATTTTAAATAATTACAGTTAGTCTATCAGTCAAAGTAAACTAGGCCAGGAAAATTTCTTTGAGACTAGTTGGGAGGAAGAGTTTTCAGAAATGGAAGGGCATTGTTGGAAAAGGACAAAAATGGCACTTGACTCCATAGAACATGAGGAAAATGCTAACTTATCCTCTGGGTATTTATTATCGATGTGATAGTACTGTCAGGCAGAAATAGAATCTCAGTAACATATTTGTGGCAACAATTTCATAAAGAAAAAAATCTTATCATTTTTATCATCATCAATTTCTTTCCCCTGTGCTTTTCCCATATAAGGTAGTTGTCATAGTGGTGATGAGAAAGAGCAGGCAGATTTTATATGGCAGAGATCCAACCACCAATAAGAATGGCTGGAAGTTAAGCATGAATGAATTATAAAGTAGAAGAATAGCTGTTCTCAGCCAAAAAGCAGTTGTCTTTCTTGAGCAAGATAGGTAGGCCTTGTGGAATGATCTCTATTGGAAAAATGGCATGAGAAATGATTAAAATTTGGAATAATGTGTGCACTTTCTGGACTATAATTGTACATCTCCAGTCTGGAACTTTCCAACGGGCCTAATGTTCAAGAAACACAGTTGGCCAAAAATAGGAGCAGCTGAGCTGAGTTGGCTCTTAGCAAAGGCCATCAGTACCCTTCTGGTACTGAACATTTAGAATATACAGAGATGGGCCATGCTGATTGTACTATGTGTGCTAATCATATCCTCTCTTTTGCTCTATTTTGGGCCCAGAAGAAAGCTTGTATTTCTCCCTGCCTCACTTTTCTGTCTCTCTGTGTCTGTCTGCCTCTGTCCTTCTGCCTCTCTCTCTCTGACTCTCTTTCTTCTCTTCTCTTCTCTTCTCTTCTCTTCTCTTCTCTTCTCTTCTCTT